CCGCGTCTACTCTTGTATTTCCTCGTGCTCCTGCTATTCATCCATCGGACTCGGACGTTCTATATTCCCCGACGCTATCCACCGTCTCCTCGTTATCGTTATCGAACTCGATATTAATTCACGACTCACCGACAGTCATGGCGAACCGTACGCCAATCGATATGCCTATTCCGGGCACTAAGCAAGCACCATTCTTCAAAGGGAGATGGTACGAAGTCATCCCCTTCCTCGATGCCTATGAGCAACTCAGCACTGTCAACAACCTGGACAATACCACGAAATGCACTTACCTATTGAGGTACTGCCCTCGACAGGTCGCCGAAGTCATCGAAGGCATGCGCGCCTTTCACGCGCGCAATTGGCCGAACCTTCGCGCTGAAATAGAAGAGCAATTCAGTGCCGATAGAGCAGACAGACGTTTTGAAATTCAAGACCTAGCTCACGAACTCAAACGATCTCGGCGCGGACATATTCGCAACATATACAGCTTCCGCAACTATCTTCGGGAGTTCGGACGCATCGCCGGATGGCTCCTAGACAAAGGAAAGATCAGCGAACGCGAACACGACTCGTATTTTTGGGCAGGACTGCCGCGCGAAACTTACAAAGAACTGGAGGCCCGCATTCTCCTCCTCAAACCGAGTATCAGCCGCACCGAACCTTACCCGATTGACATGGCAAAAGATGCTGCTCGGTTTATCTTTGATCGCGACACCTTCGATCCTAACCGACATGTCAACCTTGTGACGTCGGATGACGAAGACGCACCGTTGGATCCTCGAAGAGAAAGCGACCGAGGAGATTGGAGCGATTCCGATATCACGGATGAAGACGAATACATTAGATGGCGCCCGAGGCATGACCGAAAGAGAAGGGAGCGCCGAGAACCTCGAACGAAGTCGGAAGAACCCAAGAGAGGCCGCAAGACGTCGCCAAGGATCCGATCCCGGTCGCCTGTTGCGCGCGAAGATGCTCGTCGAACCCTGTACGAGTTAGAGGAAGAAGAACATCAGGCACGACAAATGGATGAAGTCGAAGCGATCGTTCACCAGATGGCCGGCTTGAAGATAAATGATCCGCGCTATGCATACTATTTCCGAGAAGTCACAAGGATCGACCCATCTCTCGGAAAGATTCTAGTCGCACCGGCATTAGCGCAAAGTCGTCAAGTTATGACGGCGTTCACTCACGAAGAAGAAACGCGCCGCCCTCTCGCGCAAGCACCACCGGCATACCCGTACTTTCATACGCGGCCTCCGCCGTTCTCGGCAACCTATCCAACAGCCAGCCGGCCTCCGTTCCCGAAACAGATGACCACGTACCCGCGAACGTGCTTCGGATGTGGCGAGTCCGGCCACATGATGGGCGATTGCGCCAAGATGGAGAAATTGTTAGCTGCCGGCACTCTGCGCAGAGACATGAGAGGTCGTCTCATGATGGCCGACGGTCGTCGAATTATACGTGTCGACGGCCAGCCTCTGGTCCAGATTATCGAAGAAATGGCTAAGTCCGGACCGCCGCAATCGATGTTCATTCAAGTCCGCGAATATACCGGCTATGAGCAGGAAACGGCGCGTCTGGAAAGCAAGGACCGAACGGAAGAAGAGTCCGACGAGGTATATGCAAGCGAGGACGACAACAGTAAAGAAGAGGACACCGGCTTCGTGTATGTCGGAGCAGCCAAGAAGCGCCGGTTAGACGCAGTCGAATTACCCGTTCGAGAGCGGCCAAGGAAGGCGAAAGTTGTTCGTTTAGACCCCCCGGAGCCGATGATGTTCGATCCGGCTAACGATGATCACATTATGGAGGATGAACCGATGAAAACGAAGGCGACTCACCCGGAGAAGCCTAGAGAGATAGCTCGATCGGCGCTGGCGAAGCATGTTGATGCCGAAGCCTTGTATACCAAGCTTCTCAAGACACCGCTCGTCGTATCAGTGGAGGAGTTGCTGGCTGGAAATAGAGAGATCGCCGGCAAGTTAGTACGCGACATGAAGATAACACGCGCACACGCACCGGAAGGCCCACCCGCAGCCGTTCACGAAGCCATATTCCATCCCACTAGCGTATCAACTTCGCCTCATGGCCCGCTAATCAAAGTCTTCGTGAAATGCGCCGGACACGACGTGGAGGCGATCATTGATACAGGCTCGCAGATGAGCATCCTAAACAAGAAGGTCTGGGATCAGCACGTCAAAGTACCTCGGGATATGCGGGAGACTGCGAAGATGGTCGATGCGAGTGGAAATGTCAAGATCCTGGAAGGGATTTGCCCCGATGTCGTCGTACAATGCGGAACGGCGGTGACAACGGCCAACCTATACGTCGGAGACAAAGTACCATTCGATTTGTTACTCGGACGCCCTTGGCAAATCGAAAACAGACTCACCATCGACATGCGCAAAGACGGCACTTTCCTAGTCTTCAAGGATGAACAAGATCGCGTCTACGCCGTCGTACCCGTCCCCCAGAATGCGCGCGTCATCCGATCGCCAGTACGAGCCGCTTTCATGATGGAACTTCAAGATGTCGATCAGCGCCGCGTTGGCGGAGTATCCCAAGCTGAAGAGGCAGAGATTATAGCGCAAGAGGAAGAGGCCGGAGAACGAGCGCCAAACGACATAGAGGAAGACGAGATAGAGAATACGGACTTAGAGCTGCACGACGCGCGACACGGCCGAGCACGTGCCGAGCATGCCGAAGTCACCGGCAACTCCGGCGCCCCTACAGGCATAACACTCCGATCAAAGTCCGACGACTTCACGCGTCGCGGTGCGTATCCAAAGCCGCCGTTTGACTGTCCTCCACTTCCGATTCCCTATGTCGACTACGGCACCGCTCTCGATGGACACTGGCTCCTGGATTCGATGGGACTTACGAGCTGCTCTCCGACAAGTTTCTCGGTCCCCTGGGCCGCTCTTTCCGTCGATCTGGAGGGCTTTCACATCAAGGCACTCCTCTATCCGGCAGCAACTCATACGGTTATACACTCTCGTATCGCTGTAGCTCTGGATCACTCGAAAGATCGGACCTTCTGCCTGGACGATACTGGGGATTTCTGCCTGTCGAGACTAGTCTGGGATCTCCCGATCAAGATCCGCAACTATCTCCTCCCGATCAACGCCTACATCACCCCCAGTCTACCGGTCGATTTGCTGCTAGGACGAGACTGGCTACAACGAAATCCGCTAGGACTAGTGACTATCGACAAAGTCCCCATCCTCACTATCGCCGGCGGCATGAAGATCTTTATGGAATCGTCCGCGAAGGATCTTGACGCGGTCTCGACTGAACTTCACCTCGAGCAAATCGAGGTAGACCATAATCACATCTATCGCCGCGATGTTATTACTGTCAGGCAGCCGCTACGAACAAATCTGATATCTACAGAAATCGCAACGCATCCGACGCATAGAGAAATGTCGGACGCTCACGACGAGGAGCGAGCGCACACTGCAATCGCGAGCTCAGCGATATCGGATGAAGTCTCCGCCGCGTTTGGGCTCTTTGCGATGGCTCACACCGATCCCACACCGCGCTTCTATCCTTCCCACTGTGCCGCTATTCCCGTCAAAGTTTTCGGAAAGAAGGGGAACTCTATATTAGCTTTGATTAACACCCGTGCTACTGTCAATCTCATCCACCAACGCCTATTCGACACGATCCGATCTCCACCGCCGTCTAACCTAGGAGAACTCGTCATACACGTTTCGCCGGAGAAAGAGATACCGGTCATCGGCCGCGTCTACGATTTCCGATTGCGAGGCCCTTGGGGAGAATGGACCTCGAGCGACTTCTCGATCGTTAACGAAGGCCAATATGATCTTGTCCTCGGAACACCGTGGCTGCTTGAGAATAAGATAGAGCTCGTGCCGCCACCAAGTCCCGGGTCGGCGCCATCTCTTACTATGCGCGGACGAACGGTCGCAGCAGCTGAACGCACGAGATCGCGGCAACCACGTAGCCCGGAGCCGGAAGTTCCAGGGCGTATCTACGGCATCCAACCCGACTTCTCGGAGGCTACACTCGACCAGGTCATTCTCTCTCAGGAACCTATTGCGGATAGCGGCACAAGACTCCCGTCGCCTGTACCAAGAGATCCGCCGCTCGTTCCGACCGATCTCGTTACGAGCTGGGGCACTATCCCCGTCAAAGTACTAGGATTCACTATATACGCTATCATCGACTCCGGCGTCCAGCTAAACTCTATCAATGAGGAGATCTGGAAGCATTCGAAAACGCCGCTTACCGTCACATTCGACTCTGAGAACTGCCCGGACTCGAACCGACTATCTATCGGAGCCATATTCGACGCCTCTCTTGAACTCGCCGGCATGCAGACCGTTGCTACGCTTAGCGTAGTGCGGAACCTTCATGTCGATCTCATTCTCGGTGCCGCCTGGCTCGGAACGAACTCGATTACCGTATGCGCGGAAGGCGCGAAGCGCCTAGGTCTTATCTTTCCGGATTTGATCACCGTAGCACGCCTAGGAGGAAACGGCGTCGATGTCGATAAAGTCTCGCGAGACCTATTGAATCGCGATCGAATAAGGCCGGACGATGACGAACTGTCCGACATAGATTTAGGCTCACGGCCTTCCTCGCCGGTACCAGATCGGCAAGACTCAGGCAACATCGTATGGCGCTTCTGGAAAGGGATGGTCCCTCCTCCGCGCAGCCTAGCCCGGAACGATACCGATATTCCGCGATGGGGAACGCGTCGCGTCCGCGTATTCGGAGAAGAACTCACCGCTGTGATCGATCCCGGTGCGAAGTTCAGTACTATCCGGTTCGCGCTCTGGAACAAGCACATGGCGAATCACATCCACCGGCAGTCGGTAACGCAAGACATCCCGGCGTACCTTCATACGCCGAAATGGGGTCCCGAAGAGCTATTGGATCAAGATCCTACTGTCAAGATTACATTGGACGCTCACCTCGTAACATGGGGATCTCTCTACCTCAACCGCCTATCGACTTGCGACCTCATTCTAGGCGCCGATTACTTACTTGAAAACTCGCTTATGCCCGTTATCGGACCTCAAGGCCGTCTTTGCTTGATGCACGCGGAATCGACTCGCGTATTCGAGCTAGAACCGACGCGATTTGCTCTCACCAAGTCAGAAGAAGATTCCGGCGAGTGGGAACGACATTCTGCATGGGGTCTATACGAGGAACCAAGTGCTCACCTTGCGAGCGATCGGACGATACACTCGTATCCGCACAACCGTGCACGACAAGGTTCATCGACGCCACTATCGAGCGATGAGGAATCCTTGCAACCGGCAGCATTAGTCGCGTACTTGCAAGCATGGGAGGATGTCGAAGAGTACAGCTCACCGTCCGATACCGATCTCATCACCGTCGAAGATTCCGGACTCACCGACGACATTGCCTCACTAGCGGATGAAGAACTATCGGACGACCCATTCTCCGGCGAGGAGAATGACGACGATTCCGACGACTACGAACGCATGCCGCTGCTCCAGCACTCAGGCGAGTCTTTCTTTACCTTCGAAAGAAAAGACGACGCTGCCCTGCCCGAACATGGATGGTCAACAGAATCTCTTGGCGGCAGCGCGTACAACTCGTCGCCGCAGAGCTTCGTTATCGCAAACGGCTCGTCGCCGTCGTTTAGCCCGTTCTTGTCTAGCGGCGACTCGTCCGCCGCCCTCTCGGACAAAGAAGACGACCCTACCGAAACAGATGCGACTCGGCCGCTATCCGACGATGAATCAACGCATTTCGTGCTAGCCACAAGAGAGGCGGGACCGCACCGATCCGGAACGAACGAGCAAGGCACCTACTCCGACTGGATCTTCCAACGCGCCACGGTCACTCAGCTGGACGATCTACACGCCCCTCCGTTGACAGGGTATGGATACATTCGCTTATATGAAGAGATTTCCCCCCGTTCTCGTTCTCTGTTATCCATTCTTTAATATTCTCGTTACCGCTTCGCTTTCTTTCGTTTTTCTTTGACTATCCGTGCCCCTCGACTTCGGTATTGCTCGCTCCATGAACAAATCGCCGTACGCGGCCACCTCTCGGCCGGTGCGTACAGAATCCCCTTCGTTTGCGCCAATCTACTTCGACGCCTCTACCCTCGATGAAGAGCAAATCGAATCGCTCCTCGCGGAGCAACCCATCGTATTCGGTCTCGGACGAGTCCCCGGCGACCATAAGGACGCCGTCGTCTATCTCCCATCCGATGTCACCATTCCGCAGCTTCATTCGTGGCCCGCAACCTCAGGCGATGTGTTCTACATCGTCACTACTACTCCGACCGCCGAGTTCGTCACCAATTCCCTGGCACACATTATTCCGCCCTCCACCGCCATCCGAGGACGTTCGCCGACTGCGAGTGTCCATAGCTGCCTCGAAGGAGAAAGCCAGACGTTGGCTACAGATTCAGCGCCTCCGCCTCCGGATGAAGGTGCTGACCGTCGAGCATCGAAGCGCCCGCGCATCGAAACGCCTCCGCCTGAGGATGAAGAGATTGTGCCGGAGACAGTTCCGCCGTCCCCGTCTCTCTCTCTCGCGCATATTCCGACGAATCCGCCTCTCCCGAACGACATCGACCATACGTACCGCGATATCCGCACCTGCCGTCCGATTCGCCCGCAAACACTCACGTCCCCAACGCCATCGGAGTGGGAACTGGACGCACGTCTAGAGCTTCCAGGTCCATCGCGAAGGCTCGAGGATGCCGACATCTCATCCATTGTAGCAACCTACTCCTCGTCGCCTACGTCGTACTTCTGCGGAGCGGCCATGTCCGGCCCATCCGATCCTTCGACAAGCAGATATCGACCTTCACGATCGCGCTCTTACTCGCCGACGCAACGACCAGCGTCATCGCCGGGCCCGTCTATCCGACGGCCCTCTTTCGCTCGACGGACGGGAGGACCACCAGTACATGCGTACCATCAGGAGGACGTTATGTCCGATCATCCCGACGCTTCACCCATGACTGAAGAACAGTTCGACGCCTTCCTGGAACGTCTCGAGCACGTCGAATCGCTCTTGCTGGAACACTCGGTCAACGCGCGACGCGGAACGACCGCCGTACGGAATTCGATTAAGAAGATCCAGGAGTCCCTCGAGTCGTTTCAGAACGACGTCTGGGAGACGGTCCGCCGTTGCCAAATGCATGGCCTCATCCCTCAGCATCGCCGAGCCGATTCCGACGATCTCTAGGCGCATTCCATCGACGTCCATTGCTTCCATTTTTGCTTCATCGCCCGCCTTGTAATAGTATTCCTTTCTTGATGCGTTCATTCCTTTCTTGTCCTCTTGAATTGTTAACCGCGAGATCATACTCTCCAGTCGCAGGCATT